GCGGTGCAAGCTGGGTGCAGGCCGTGCGGTGCAGCGCGCGAGGGGAGGAGGAGAAGGGTGGAGGAGGAGAAGGAGGAGGAAGAGGAGGAGGAGGAGGAGGAGGAGGAGGAGGAGGAGGCGGAGGGGGGAGGAGGAGGAGGAGGAGGAGGAGGAGGAGGAGGAGGAGGAGGAGGAGGAGGAGGAGGAGGAGGGGAGGAGGGGAGAGGAGGAGGAGGAGGAGGAGGCGGAGGGGGGAGGAGGAGGAGGAGGAGGAGGAGGAGGAGGAGGAGGAGGAGGAGGAGGAGGAGGAGGAGGAGGAGGAGGAGGGCGCCCACGGGCGGCGGTCCCCGGCGAGGCCACGGCGGGCGCAGCCAGCGCCCCGGGGGGCGCCCACGAGGCGCCCCTGGGCGGCGACCAGACAAGACCTCTGCAGGCCCAGGCAGCGCACGGGGTGCGCCCACGAGGCGCCCACGGGCGGCGAGCGCGTGAAACCTCTGCAGACCCGGGCAGCGCCCGGGGTGCGCCCACAGGCGGCGACCAGGCGAAGCTTCGACCCCCCCCCTTTTTGGTCGAGACACGAAGGAAGACCTCCTGAGCGCGAGCACTGATTTGGGAGACAGCTCCCAGCAGTTCCACGGACGGTGGGCGAAGTTCTTTCAAACTGTGGCCCTCGCCTTGGGCGCTGCCCACCTTTTCTGGTCCGCTGCAGCGAGGCAGAGGCCCACCAGCGCGCTCTGGTGGGCCCGGCGATGGCAGGCATTCGTCAGCCGGCAGGAGTAGTAATAGTAGTAGTAGTAGTAGTAGTAGTAGTAGTAGTAGTAGTAGTAGTAGTAGTAGTAGTAGTAGTAGTAGTAGTAGTAGTAGTAGTAGTAGTAGTAGTAGTAGTAGTAGTAGCAGTAGTAGTAGTAGTAATAGTAGTAGTAGTAGTAGTAGTAGTAGTAGTAGTAGTAGTGGTGGTGGTGGTGGTAGTAGTAGTAGTAGTAGTGGTGGTGGTGGTAGTAGTAGTAGTAGTAGTAGTAGGAGGAGGAGGAGGAGGAGGAGGAGGAGGAGAACATGGGCGGAGCGCGGCCGCGGGGGGGAGGAAGAGGAGGGGATCACTCACAGCGCGATGGACATCGACTGGAGTGGCCAGGCGGTCCGCCTGCACTGACGCGGCCTGGCAGTGGACGCGGGGCGGCGTCGCGGCCGCACCCAGGGGCTGAGGCGCAGGCTGCAGTGTGAGAGCGGCCAAGTCGTACCCGCACTGGAGGGGGAGCGGCGAGCGCTCGCGCTGCACACATTCGTCGAACGTGTTTCCAGGAGCCACGGGGATGGAGGGCCAGCCGCCTTCAAAATGAGGCTCTCGTCTTAGCGCCGCGCGCATTCGTCTTGAAAGCTTCCGACACCATCAAGGACGGATGGCCACTCGAATTCAGAATGTGACTCTCGCCATAATGATGCGCGCTTTCATCTGAAAACGGCCAACTGCAATAAGGATGGAGAACGATTCCTTTTCGAACTGGGTCTCTCGCTTGAGGCTTCGGGACAAGCTATGCCAAGAGCTGTAACATGGTGCAACGCCTTCATAGATGGAGGACGGCTCATTGTCTATACGGGGATGCTGGCTGATGTTTCCTACTACGTGATGGCAAAGTCAAGTAATACTGTGCCACTGTTCCCCGGATGGAAGGCGGCGTCTTCTTTAAACGGGGCACTTGCCAGACTGTTTTTTGAACTTATGATCCAGCTTCTTTGCTTTCGTTATAGCTGGAGCGACGCAGGGCAATCCTTCTTCCTCAAGGGACCTCTGGGGGTGGGACTTGGGACGGGATAGCATGTTGCAGCATCGTCGATGCATGCTGAATTCACCCTGGCCGTCCTCCTTTCTGCTCCACCCCGTCCTCCCCCGCTTTATCCCCTTCCTCTCCTCATCCTTATCACTCCTTCTTCCTTCCTCCTCCCCTCTTCATCCCCCTCATCACATGGAGGACGAGGGGGAGGAGGAGGAGGGAGATGAGGAGGAGGAGGAGGAGGAGGAGGAGGAGGAGGAGGAGGAGGAGGAGGAGGAGGAGGAGGAGGAAGTCCTGGGCGTAGCATCGCAGCTGGCGCCGCTCGCGCTGGTGGACGCCGCCGCCAACGGTGGGCGAGCACTGCTCTGGCCCTTCGAGGGGCAGGACGGGCTTGGGGGGGAGGGACGACGGGTGGGAGAAGGAGGATGTCGAAATTGATGGTGGTGATCGTAGTCTAAATGTGGTCGTGATGATCGAGGTTGAAGCTGATGTCGAGTTCGATGTCGAGGCTGAAGTGGATGTCGAAATTGATGACCGATGAGATCGTGATGAGGATGTCGAAGTTGATGATGAGGATCGAAATTGGAGTGCGGGGACCGAGGAACTTTCTCCACGAAGGGCAACCAAGAGAAACACACCGATACATCATGATACGTCCGCGGCCGTCAATGAGGACTGTCCCATCCGCGAGCCTTTGCCGTCCCAGTCGTCGTCGTCGTCGTCGTCGTCGTCGTCGTCGTCGTCGTCGTCGTCGTCGTCGTCGTCGCCGCTCCCACTCAAGCGTTCCAGCTACAGGGATATCGAGCAACGTCGCATAATCGAGTCGAAGGGAAACCTCTTTCCTTTGATCTCCCCGCTGGAAGGGTGGGTGGGTGGTGATTTGGGGCGGAGTCCCGGGGAGGGTCCCAGGGGGGTCCCCAGAGGGGGGTGGGATGCGAGGTCCACGGGCCGTGATACCCCCCCCCCCACGGGGGGGATCACCCCTCCCTCCCTCCCTGGGAGAAGCTTTCGGATCCAGAGCGTCAGCGGCGTCGTCGTCGTCGTCGTCGTCGTCGTCGTCGTCGTCGTCGTCCCCCTTCAAGGTCGGCGGCACCAACCGTAAGGCCTTCGCAATCCGCTGCCGTCAATGAGGGCTACCCCAAGCGCCCGATGCTTGGACATACGGGCGCAGCACGACACGTGCACCTTCAAGTCGGGAGCACCTCGGCGGCAATCCAGGCCATCGCAGCTGGTACCACGCAGCGCGACCAACAAACATTGGCACCAAGAGACACTGCACTGTCTCTGGATGCCTGGCTGAGGTGGGGCTCCGAAGGTGCTGACTGCCATCGCTGTTCTTGCTGCTGTCGTCGCCGCCGACCAGCTCGCTCCGCGACCCACCCGCGCCGCGACCCACGCTCGACCCACCCGCACCGCGACATGCTCGCGACCACTGCTCCCGCCGAATCTCGGCGCCCGCTGCGGGCTGCACGCTTCTCCGTCGCCCGTCCAGGCCTCTTGAAAGTGCCCTGGCCGTGCTGCGGCTGGACGCTTCGGTGTCATCGTGTGTCGCCTGTTCTGTGATTCCCTCGCTCTTCGGCGTTGGGCTGCCGGCTCCAGCGGGAATGCACGAACGGCCGCGGGCCGCCCCAGCGCGTGCGGCGCGCCTCGCCAGGCCCCTGCAGGGTTCGCATGTGGCCCCCCTACTGGGGACGACTTTTTGACCATGTTTGACTATTTTTGAATCTGCTCCGGCCAGGTGTTCCCTGCCCGACCCGACCGTAGTTGCCTCCCAGAGTGGGGGGGCAGGAAGGCCCCCACCGCCCTCCCCCCCTCCCCAGCGCGCCCCCGCAAGCGGCCGCCACGGACCTCTTTGGGCAGCGCGCGGACGTGCGCACCTTTTCTGCCTGCATCCGACGATGTGGTCCTGGCTGCCGTGCACCTCCAGCCCGGCGGAGCCGCCGCCCCGCCCCCGGGCGTGCCAGAGGAGCACGCGGGGCGCGCGCGGGGGACTGCAGCGCGCGTGCGCGCGCACGCGGGGGCTCCGCAGCCACGACGGGCAGCGGCTGGCCCAAGGGGGGGCCCACGCGGCGCCGCCGCGGCCAGGGGCCGCGCGGCTGGCAGCATCGCGCCCCTGCTCGTGGGCGCTGGCCCGCGGCCCGCGCGGAGACGGCTCGCGCAGGGAGGGCGTTCGGACACGACCCTCGGTGCCTTCCGACGAGGTCGTGCCCCGCGATCGGCTCGCTCAGCAGGGTTACGAACCCTGGCAGCCCCAGACGCAGCGCCACCCGCGCCGCCCGCCGTGCCCTGCGATGCATCGCCGGGGCGGTCGCAGACCGCAAACCAGCAGCGCCGCGGCTCGAGTGGAAGAATGGTCGGTGGTGTCTTCAGCTGCCGCCCGTGCTAGAGCGGAGCAGCAACACATATCAGATGTGCTCACAACGTGTGAAGACATGGAAATGCAGGCGCAGACCCCTCTTCTAAGCCTAACAGCGGGCTGCCTCGCAGGAGGGTGCCTGAGACGGGGGGCTCAGAGATCTCAGACACGGTTGCCTTGAACAAACATGGCTACCAGTACGGCTGAATATTGGGAGGGAGGAAGGATGCACACGTAGGAGCGGGAGGAGGCAGGAGCAGCAGGAGGATGACGGAGGAGGATGAGGATGAGGAGAAGGCCTCTCTTCCTTCTCTCACTCTGCCCCCGCCCCTTACCCTCACTCTCTGTCTCCACAGAGAGGGGTGCGTGTGAGGGAACGGCAAGGCGACAAAGCGCAAAAGGAGGATGAGGCGGAGGATGAGGAGGAGGGGGAAGAGGAGGAGAAAGGAAGGAGGGAGACGCTGCGGAAGTGGGGGCAGCGAGCAGGAGCAGGAGCTGGAGCACCGAGGGGTAGCATCATGAGGAGGCGGAAGATGGTGAGCAGGAGGAGGAGGAGGAGGAGGAGGAGGAGGAGGAGGAGGAGGAGGAGGAGGAGGAGGGGGAGGAGGAGGGAGCAGGGAGGAGGAGGAGGGAGCAGGAGCTCTCCTTCGGCCGACCCACGCAAGGCTGGTGCGACAGACTCTCGGCGGAGGCTGCGCTCGCCGCGGCCGCAAACCGCGGCCGCAGCGACCGCCTCGGGGGGGGGGCTCCACTCTGGCCTCGCCTCGGCGGCGCTGGGGCGTGCGCCGCGGCCGCCGTCGGGACGAGGGCCTGTGATACACCGTGTATTGCAAGCGTGGCTTCTGGAAATTCTACGACCGCTGGCCGCCGGCGGCGGGCGCGCCCCTCGCGGCCGCTCACGGCGGCCGCAGCGAGCGCTTCCGGGGCTCCTTCCGCTCCTCCGCGGCGCCGAGCTGGCGCTGCAAGCGCTGGCCGCCTCCTCCGTCCTCCTGGCCGGCGCCCGCCGCCTGGGCGAGGGCCTGGGCCGCCGCCTCCGGGAGGCCCTGGTAGGGGTAGTCCCAGGGGGCCTCGAGGTAATCCCTGACCGCCGCGTAGTCCGAGTCGCTGTGCGCGCCGAGCCCGCCCATCTGGTTCAGCAGGCCGCAGTCCCGGTACTCGTCGTCGTAGCGGGCGACCTTGCAGTAGCGCAACACCGTCGCGGGCTCCTCGAAGCCTGGGGCCACCTCGTAGCTGCGGAAGTTCGCCCTCTCGTCGTCGATGAGCACCACGCCTTCTCGCCGGAGCTGGAGGAGGTCCTCGTAGCGCGATCTCTGCTGGCCACGCAGCTGAGGAAACCACCTCTCGGGGTTGTCAACGACGTGGCGGAGCAGATCCGCCTTGTGGTTGTTCACCTGCTCGACTGGCGGCTGGAAGCACGCCCACTTTCCGTCCTCCTGGAAGGCACCGTTTTCTCTACCCGACCCGTCAGCCTGGCTCATGGTCCAAATCACGCTGAAGTGCTCCGCCAGCCCGGCGATCCTCAGCAGATCTTTTTTTTGAGTGCCCTAAGGAGTTCTCTGGTGGCTCGCGGGTCCCCTGAACCACGGACGGTGAGCGATCTACATGCTTCCCGCGGCAGCTGGCCCATGCCAGAAGCCGGGCGGCGGAGGAGGCCACGAGAAGGGGCGAGGCAGCGATCCTCAGCAGATTGAGCACAGCCATCGCGCCGCATTCGTTCTTGGTCAGCACGGCCAGCTTCCTGTCGGTGGCAATCCACTGCAGCAGCGCGCCGAGCTTCTCGATCCTGCTGCCCTTCTCCACCCACGGGGTCTCGAAGTTATAGTCCCGCAGGTCGGCCTCCGACCACTCCCCGTTTCCCACGTCTTCGCTAGGCTTAAGTCGGGCGTGTCTCCCTACAGGGGGATGTTCGACGACAAATAAAAAATACGCTCTCAAATAACCCCAAATGGTCAAACCATACTCAAAAAATAGCCCCCATACTATTTTTTGACTATCCTTGAATACCCCCCCTGTAGAGGGACAGGCCCAACTTAACGCTAGGCATGAAGGTGGCCAGCGTGAGCGTCTCGTCGAAGTCGAAGACCACCAGCTGCACTGGATTCTTCATCTCGTGGCCGTCGAAGTCTCGCTCGTTGCAGCGGACCTGCATCGAGTCCTTGCACATCCACGGGTCTTCCACGAACCGCTTCAGCATATCGTAGTCCGCGTCGCTGTGCGCGCCGATCCCTCCCATGTTCTTCATGAGCCCGAAACTGCGGTAGACTGCGTCGTACCGGGCCACCTTGCAGTACCTCATCACCTCGACGCCCGTAGGGCTCTTGAAGTTCGCCCTCTGGTCGTCCACCAGCACAATGCTCCCCTGATTCAGGGGCAGCAGGTCCGCAAACTTGGCCTTCTCCTTTCTTGCGAGCTGCGGGATTCGGGTCGGGCGAAAAGGGGGGGATAGCAAAGGGGGGGTTTGAGAATCAGCTCACGTAGCTGATTTTCCCGGCGCCTCCCGGCGCCGGAGGCGGCTATGTATCGAGGAATGGGCCCCTCAGTGGGGCCGAAACCAGCTGCATGCAGCAAATTTCGTAACCCCCCCTTTCCCAATCCCCCCCTTTCGTCCGGCCCGAGGGATCCACTTCTCTGGGCATCTGCACACATGCTTCAGCACGTCCGCTTTGTGGTCGTGGGCCTCGTCCACGGGGGGGTCGAAATCCACCGGGCCCCCTCTTTTGGGGCGCCCGGTTGTGGGAGACTCCCTGCTGGGACTGCTGCCCTGCTCATTCCCGTCCCTTGCCTGCCAAGTCCTGGGCCCAGTTCTGCTCCTCCTCCTCCTCCTCCTCCTTCCTCCTCCTTCCTCCTCCTCCTCCTCCTCCTCCTGCCTGTGCTCGGGGGGGCCCGCGGCGCCAAGGGTCGCACTCGGACTGGGAGTCCCGGAACTCCCGGCTCCCCGGCCGCTCCAAGCTGCCTCAGGGCTCCCGTGTGGACGCCACCAGACGGCCAGGAGGGCCGAAGAGGCCTCCAGGAAGAACTTCAGAGGCCTCGAAGAGGGCTCCCAGAGCGAACGACGGTCGAAGACGGCCCCAGGAGAGCCCCAAGAGGGCCTCAGGATGCCCCCGAGAAAACAAGCGCAGCGCAGGACACATCCTTTTTCTCAACCGCCTGTGGCGTTGGACCCTCGTTTTGAGGATATAGCGTTATGATGCTCCAACCTACTTTAGCCTTGATCACCAAAATAATTTCGAGCGCCCAAAAAATACCGAAACTCGAGGGTTTTCACGTGTCGGACCCTGGGAGACCCTCGCCCGACACTGTTTCGACATTGTTTCGACACTCTTTTGACACTTTTCCGGGTGCTCGAAAGCATTTTTGGGATGTGGTCCTTAAGTAGGATGGGAACAGCATAGATATAGCGCCGCGCGTCACCCACCTTCCTTCCACGATTGCGCAATCTGAGCACTCGTCTCCCCTCTCCCCTGATGCCGTCCAGAAGACATCTGGCCCCTCTCCGCGTACGTTTTGTTGTTTGGTTGTTTTGTTATTTTGTTTGTTTTGTTTTGTTTTGTTTTTGTTTTTCTCTCCATAGGATTTCTGGGAATTGGGCTTTCGCTTGGGATTTCAAAATGTTGCTCCCGCTGAAGCGCTGGCCTCATGTTCGGGCCCCCGCTCGTTCCGAATCGTGCTCCCGCTGCAGCGCTGGCCTCGTTTCCGCGTTTCCGCTCGTTCCGAATCATGCTCCTGCTGCAGCGCTGGCCTCATTTCCGCGCTTCCGTTCGTCCCGAATCCTGCTCCCGCTGCAGCGCTGGCGCCATTATTTCCAGTGCCATGCCACGGCATGGTTTTCGGTCCTTCCAAATCGGCCCCAAAATCTAGAGAATGGCATCCCGAACAAAAGCCATCGGAAGTGATTACACATTCGGTGTCGTTTCGTTGAGTTTTGGGCCGCAGAAGCCACCCCCCACCCCACTTTTGGGGCGTCACCACGCCATGCTATGTCATGCTGCGCGTTGATCTTTAACACCATGCTATGCCATGTAACGCTATGCCATGCCGCGACATCCGATTGTGGGAAGGGATGGGAGGGAGGGGTAGGACGTCAGATATGACGCGAGCGCACCTAGCTTGTCCTCCCCCCTCCTCCCTCCCCCCTTCTTGCCTCTGCCCTCTCATCAGTATGCGGCTCCCTCACGAAGTACAGCGTTTCGTGGGCCCATAGGGAGCTCCAGCGAAGGCCCCAGTGGCACCGCCCGCATGTGTCACCCCCACCCTGTTCAGCGTTTCGTGGCCCCATAGGAAGCTCCAGCGAAGGCCCCAGTGGCACCGCCCGCATGCGTCACCCCCACCCTGTACAGCGTTTCGTGGCCCCATAGGGAGCTCCAGCGAAGGCCTCAGTGGCAGCGCCCGCATGCGTTATCCCCGCCCAGTAGAGCGTTTCGTGACCCCATCGGGAGCTCTACCGAAGGCCTCGGGTGCGGCTTTCGCGTGCGTCGCCCCCGCCCAGTACAGGATTTCGTGGGCCCATAGGGGGCTCCACCGAAAGCTCCAGTGGCACCGCCCGCATGCGTCACCCCCACCCAGCACAGCGTTTCGTGGCTCCATAGGGTGCTCCACCGAAGGCCTCAATGGCGGTGTTCGCATGCGTATCCCCTCACCCAGTACAATTTTCCGCGGCCCCATATGGAGCTCCACCGAAGGCCTCAGTGGCAGTGTTCCAATGCGGTTCCCCCCGCCGAGTACAGAGCTCCACCGAAGGCCCCAGTGGCGGTGCTCGCATGCTGTCCCCCCGCCCGATACAACGTTTCGTGTCCCAACAAAGGGAGCTCAACCGAAGCGGTGTTCGCATTCGGTTCCCCCGCCCAGTACAGCGTTTCGTGGCCCCATAGGGAGCTCCAGCGAAGGCCCCAGTGGCACCACCCGCATGCGTCACCCCCCACCCATGACAGCGTTTCGTGGCCCCACAGGGAGCTCAACCGAAGGCCTCGGTGGCGGCTTTCGCATATTTCGCCGCACCATGGTGGGTCCCACCGGAAGCTCCAGTGGTAGCGCTCGCATGGAGGCCCCACCCCACGTCGGCACACCCTCGCATGCTTCATGGCCCAATGAAGAGATCTCCCTAAAGCGATACCCGCAACGACGATATTCATATCTGCATATAGTTGGGTCCTTCGCCAGGATAATTTTTGACCTGTCCTATGCTTTGCTCCAAAAATGTCCCGAGATCGCTTCAGCATGGCCGCCAGAATCTTCCAACGTTGCCCAAGACAGCCTCAAGTTGGCCCCAAGGTGTCGCCAAGGTCGCCCAGGATGGCCCAACAATGCCAGCCCCGACATGGCCCAGTAAGCCCGTGTGGCCCCCAGAGTTTTCAAGATGCCCCCTCCCCCTTCCTCGAGCACAGGAGGTTTCGGAGCAGACGTGATCTGCATGCAGGTTGACCAGCCTGGCACAGAGGTGGACCCCAGCCAAGGCGATCCAGCAAAGCCCCCCCGACTGTTCCGACTTAGCCAGAAGATAGCCGGCGGCAGTGGGCGCAGCCCTTCCGATACTGCCACTCGCCGTTCTCGTCTTGGAACGCGCCGTTGTGCCTATTTCGGCGCCAGGGCATCGTCCAGACGGCGCAGAAGAGCTCCGCGAGCCCGCCGGCCTTCAAGAGGTTGACCACGGCGAGGACGCCCGCCGCGTTGGCGTTGCGCGTCAGGATCGCCAGGAACCTGCGCCGCCCGCCCTTGCCGCCCACGAGCTCCTCGAACAGGTGCCTGAGCTTGTCCAGCCTTGGGCCCTCCACCCAGGGGGACTCGAAGTTCACCCTGGCCATGGCCTCGCGCTCGCTGGGGAGGCAGCCTCCGTCCGCCGTCATGAACGTCGCCAGCGTCAGCGTCTCGTCCAGATCGAAGACGATCAGCTTGACCGGGGAAGCCTTTTTTTATTTTGTTTTTGTTTTTTTACCCCCCCGAGAGCGATGAAAACTGCAGGCTTCTCCACTGACGGGAAGGAGACTCGGGAAGGAGACTCCGCCAAGCAGAAACTGCTGTGCATCCGCCCTTGGCTGCCGAGCCAACCAAAAGACGCGTCACGAAGCCAGGCCCCTAATAGCAAGCCTGTCCCGGCCGCGTGGCCGATAGCTTGCTTCCCGCTTCCCCAGATGATAGCTTGACCGGGGAAGCCTTGTCGAAGTGCTCCGCGTCCCTCTCCACGCACCGGAGCCTGTACTGCGAGGCGGCGCTGGTGCGGCGCGGGACCGGGCCGGCTCGGCCGCCCGCGCCCGCCATGCGCGGCGCGGGCTCCGTGCTGCCCGACGCCTCGGGGCCCCCGACGCCTCGGAGGCCGCGGATCGCCGGTGCCTGGAGCCCCGGGCCCCTTCCCCTCGGGCCGCCTCTTCGGCCCGAGCCTTATGTTGCTCCCATCGTACCTCAGGACCCCACCCCAGAACGAATCTCGAGCCCCAGGAAAAGGCATCGAACCGGCGTCGAGCGAGCATCGCCTCCGCAGGGCCCGGCACGTGAGCACCCTCCCGTTTCGGTACGTCTTGGTGCTCGAGGTTCGAAATGGTGATCGAGGCTAAAGTCTGTTGGAGCATCATAACCCGAGCCGCCTTGTGATGGTCCTGGGGCCCGCCGCAGTCCAACTGGCCCATGCGCGCGCGGGCGCTCTGGGAGGGCCGCCGCCCAAAAAAGGCCCTCCCGGTGCCTCGATCCGAGGCGGATGCGGGAGAGAGGGAGGGAGGAATGAGCGCATGAGTGAGACGATGCCTGAGACATGCTGGTCGCTAGAAGCACCCATGGCCCCTCTGATCTCGACGAGCGCTGCGATCGAGACGTAGCGCCACGTGGCGAACGCGCTGCACGCGGGGCTTGCAGGATCCAACCTGCATCCGTTCATCTCAAAATGGCAGAGCGGCTCCACGGCCTCGAGCACAAGGTGGTCACCCAATTGCAACGTTCAATATGAAAAAAGAACCGCTACGTCTGTGGCGGGCGGCCAAGCTCAACTTGACGCTGCTGATCCCTCGCGCAACATGAGATACCACCAACTAAGACATCAACTTCATAGGGCGCAATGTCCGTGACGGCCACTGCAAAGCACACTGCCGTCCCGTGATAATCTCGCAAGCGCGTAGCCGCAACCAACGCACACGCTGCACCTCCACTGCACACCAAGACCTCCACACCAGCATGTCACAGGATAACTCATATCAACAGGAACGATAATCATATTTCTCCGAATGCTTATGCGCAAATACCATACCACACTCCATGGATGAGTACAGATGGGCAAACTTGACCCCATTGAACGGTAGTTATATCTCGTTGCGG